GTAAGAACGACACACAAACAAATGACATGTGTTCGCATACGGGGCGGGTCAAAAACCACCTTTCCGCTTCCGTGGGACACCACCGCCCCATGATAAGGGGTCAGATGTGGCTCCTAAATTGGAGGGGGGGGGGGGGGAGGATAGATCGATTTACACCAAAAACAGCGCAGCCTTAAATGTGTTCATATTAGCACCCCCAGTATAGCGCGACCTAATGTGACACTGTGTCACCACAGCTCGTCTCATCTCTTGCATGCCCCATTTTGGCATGACCAATTACGTAAGCGTCCAAATATAAGCCAGATCACTACTCCCATAACCCATACTATGCAAGCCCACATTATTGCCATGGCGGATATCAACAACAGCATTGGCAGCAGTGAAGAGACAACGAGCAGAGAGATGAGCAGTGAAGATACAAGTGGAGACGATCTCTCGAGACGAGTGAGTATGAGGCGGAGGACATTGACGAATCCAGCTCTAACGGCACCAGTAGTGGGGAAAGCAAGGCCCCCGGAATGGACCTTGAACACAGCAACGAAGAGAGCAATGACGAAGACGCAGCTTCGTCAATTCTGACTGTGACACAGAAAGGAGGATATGGTGCTACTCACCATGGTTACTCCTATAGGAAAGACAAGAAGAAAGCAGACGGGCAGGATTACTTGGCGATTTACTAGGCCAGCATGTGGTGGCCGTAAGAACTATATACGATGAGGAGTCCACCAACCTGCCAGCGCCAGCTGCCGTTCATTTGCCGTCATTTAACTCTCTGGACTCCACTCTGTATAGATGTCGAAGAGAGCGGTACCCTGCACTGCCTCGAACGCGTGCAGAAATCGATATTCCTGATGGTTTCCGCCAAACGCAAGGTCACGACTTCTTCCTGGCATCCATCGGCCATGAGAATGATACTCTTGTGTTCGTATCCCCTCATGATCTGGAGAGACTATGGAACAGTCAATCCTGGTTCATGGACGGAACATCGTAAGTCGCCCCTGCCCTGTACACACAACTTACGACCATCCATATCATGGTTTCAGGGAAGTACCTGCTGATGGTTTACACTCTGATGTCGCGAAAACACGCCAGGCATACGATTATCTCTTCCGTGCACTTAAAGACCAAGCAGCCGCTAGAGAACTCAACCTTCACCTTCAGACCATTACCACCGACTTTGAAAGTGGATTGGCACCCGCCGTATCGGAAGAATTCCCCAGCGCAATACATAAAAATGGATTCGGATGGAGAGCCACGGATTAAATTATAGAAAATATAAAGTACGAAGTAGTGGTTGCGACTTCGGCGATGATTTGTAAGAAAGGTTTGCTCCCCACACCGGAGCTCGCGCTATTCCGCCGACTTTACTTGACACTTGACTGACTCACGACTGCCATCCAGAGCACACGAGAAGTCCATCGAACCTTCGACTCGGCAAACCTGCAAGAAAGCACCACTCCCTGCTCAATACACAGTGTTTCGGGGAATTCACCCCTCATCAGTTGAGCTTGAGTAGGCTGAGGAAGATTATGCCTGAAGAGCACCACTTATATAGTGCTCTCCAGGCACAAACATCACCAGGGATACAAACTTACAGAGACGCTCCGCTTCCAGCGCGATAAACACCTCGTGAACACCAGATAGCAGCGTGAGTCAGTGTCGCTCCTGGACGGTGAGACAGACGTCGAGGACCCTCGGTCATTCGCAACGCTGTCACCTCCAAACCAACTAGTCGCAAGCCCGCGCTGGGCACAACAGTACGAAGTAGTGGTTGCGACTTCGGCGATGATTTGTAAGAAAGGTTTGCTCCCCACACCGGAGCTCGCGCTATTCCGCCGACTTTACTTGACACTTGACTGACTCAAGACTGCCATCCAGAGCACACGAGAAGTCCATCGAACCTTCGACTCGGCAAACCTGCAAGAAAGCACCACTCCCTGCTCAATACACAGTGTTTCGGGGAATTCACCCCTCATCAGTTGAGCTTGAGTAGGCTGAGGAAGATTATGCCTGAAGAGCACCACTTATATAGTGCTCTCCAGGCACAAACATCACCAGGGATACAAACTTACAGAGACGCTCCGCTTCCAGCGCGATAAACACCTCGTGAACACCAGATAGCAGCGTGAGTCAGTGTCGCTCCTGGACGGTGAGACAGACGTCGAGGACCCTCGGTCATTCGCAACGCTGTCACCTCCAAACCAACTAGTCGCAAGCCCGCGCTGGGCACAACAGTACGAAGTAGTGGTTGCGACTTCGGCGATGATTTGTAAGAAAGGTTTGCTCCCCACACCGGAGCTCGCGCTATTCCGCCGACTTTACTTGACACTTGACTGACTCACGACTGCCATCCAGAGCACACGAGAAGTCCATCGAACCTTCGACTCGGCAAACCTGCAAGAAAGCACCACTCCCTGCTCAATACACAGTGTTTCGGGGAATTCACCCCTCATCAGTTGAGCTTGAGTAGGCTGAGGAAGATTATGCCTGAAGAGCACCACTTATATAGTGCTCTCCAGGCACAAACATCACCAGGGATACAAACTTACAGAGACGCTCCGCTTCCAGCGCGATAAACACCTCGTGAACACCAGATAGCAGCGTGAGTCAGTGTCGCTCCTGGACGGTGAGACAACTGATGAGGGGTGACTTCCCCGAAACACTGTGTATTGAGCAGGGAGTGGTGCTTTCTTGCAGGTTTGCCGAGTCGAAGGTTCGATGGACTTCTCGTGTGCTCTGGATGGCAGTCGTGAGTCAGTCAAGTGTCAAGTAAAGTCGGCGGAATAGCGCGAGCTCCGGTGTGGGGAGCAAACCTTTCTTACAAATCATCGCCGAAGTCGCAACCACTACTTCGTACTGTTGTGCCCAGCGCGGGCTTGCGACTAGTTGGTTTGGAGGTGACAGCGTTGCGAATGACCGAGGGTCCTCGACGTCTGTCTCACCGTCCAGGAGCGACACTGACTCACGCTGCTATCTGGTGTTCACGAGGTGTTTATCGCGCTGGAAGCGGAGCGTCTCTGTAAGTTTGTATCCCTGGTGATGTTTGTGCCTGGAGAGCACTATATAAGTGGTGCTCTTCAGGCATAATCTTCCTCAGCCTACTCAAGCTCAACTGATGAGGGGTGAATTCCCCGAAACACTGTGTATTGAGCAGGGAGTGGTGCTTTCTTGCAGGTTTGCCGAGTCGAAGGTTCGATGGACTTCTCGTGTGCTCTGGATGGCAGTCGTGAGTCAGTCAAGTGTCAAGTAAAGTCGGCGGAATAGCGCGAGCTCCGGTGTGGGGAGCAAACCTTTCTTGAAAATATAAAGGACCAAGGAACTACAAGTTCGCATGATATGATTGTTCAGTAACTGGTGGTGTTAGTGGACATTATAGTGTAACTTGTAGTTCCTTGGTCCTTTTTATTTTGCAATATATAAAGTTTGATTTTTCCATTTCTAATAATAATTAGAATAGAAGAAATCACATGGAAACGAGTTATGAAGCAACCATCCACGACTGTAACAAGATAATAAGCAGTCAGAAAGTGAGATAAGAAGGCACAAAACTGACAAAATATTCCTGTCGCCAGTCAACTATTTTTAAATGGCCAAACATTGCGAGATAACTTCGTTCAAGTGGGCGGTCTCATTCCGATTTATTGTGCTGCGTCAGGTTGCTTTCGACGGCTGTGACCCCTCATTCTTGTGCCTTGTTTTAATGTATATTTTTTCGATGTGTTGCCTTTTCCTAATAAGTATCCAAGGAAGGAAGGGGGGGGGGGGGGTCTTTTGATCAAATTGTCATAGTGGGTGAGTGAGGTCCACCCAGGGATATACTGTAGTACAATGTAAGCAACTAAAAATAGCCAGTTTTCAGCTGATTTTCAGAGTCAGCTGATGCTCAGCATTCAGGGTCATAGCTGCATTTTGAAATGGTTCCTATATCAATGGTCCCAGGCAATAATTGGCAGGGGCACATGCCATCAATGATCTAAACTCAGCTCCATGTGTGTAATTTCTGACTTCCTGTTATGCTTCGCATGTTGGCGAAGGCTGAGCGATAGAGCATGTCTCCCCTCTTCCGTGGATTTGTAGGTTTATTCCTATCTGGGTGTGATTGTTATAATATTATGTACGAGTTTGATGACCTTCAATATGACCAATACGTTCTTTTATTGTTTATTTTTGATTTACAGTATCTTGGATGATGACTTGTGTCTTCACCATAGCTCAGTGGCTAGAGCCTTGCTGCCTTATGCAAGGAGATCCCTTGAATTGAGTGCTGATGGTGACAGGCAATTTTTCTTAAGTTTTATTCTCCCTTTTCTATTCTCTTAGTTATTGAGTATCAACATAATCTGAAGAGTGTTCTTCTTTGAAACATTCCTATCCAGAAAAATTGGAAGTATACCTATCATGTTTGGCATTAGCACATATCTCTATGGATTATGAAAGTGCACCATCATTGAGATGCTTTGACAAAGTCGTTGCACAGCAATGTCCTGGCTCAACCAAAGCCACCCACTCATGCTAATATTATACTTAGCGTCCATAAGCAAATTTGCTAGTGCACCGCATAGAAATCATTTACGAGACCTCCACTCATGCTGGATAAAGTACAACTTTATTGCATTGTACACTGTACGTGAGTCAGTCAAGTGTCAAGTCAAGCCAACACGAGAAGCAGGTACTCCAGAGTGGGGATCAACCAACTTTCGTATGAAACTTCAATGAACGACTGTAGAGACTGTGAAACAGTCCAGGATTGTGTTATAGGAACTTAGGAAGTACTGAGTGAGAGATTATTACCAGGCCTAGTCACCACTGAGGAGCACTGGCAACATGCTTGTGCAGATGGCAGGGGAGGTCCTTGGTCGTACTTGGTCCGACTTATTAAAATGTGCGCTTCACTTCAAAACTCAAGCATATGTACAAACGAGCACCTGTACTAAAAAATCAACCAAGAGACGGTAGATAGATAACTACTGTGTCGTTTCTTGGCCTGACCTTCTAGTTTT